CACGACAGACACAAACATAGAATAGAGAGTATATCCCCTGATTGGATACTAGGCACAAAACGTGGGCCTTTCTCTGTTTTTCTCGAACATCATAGCAGAACTCGTTGGCTATCTGATGCCAATTACTAAAGGCTTGGTACTTCCAGAATAGCGAATTCCTTCGAAGGACGCGAGCGCAATGGTGGTTGGTTTAGTTACAGACAGCAACAAAATAAAAATGTCATGCATCAACGACGTTTTCAAAGTTGTCATTGTCCTTCTATATTGAATTTTCAAAGAGGTTCATCTGGATTTCCGAATGTTTTAGTTCAGCTCTCGACACTGCTCAAAAGGTTTCGTATAACAGATCAAACCAACCGATCAAACATCATCGGGCTAAATCGAAGTATAATAAGATAATGTCAAACCTTTGAGTCAAGCAAACCTCCGATGGCCTGCAACTGACAATCTCTTGCCATGTAATATTCCAACATTGACGATTCCATCATGTACGCGTAATTACCTGCTTTAGCTCGTGCGATCCCTTCGCGACTACTATTCACGAACACAGTAGGTGTTGTTGATTGCATTATTGACCACCTGTAATGAAATTAGAAACCTGAATCATGGATTGCACCGAAATATGGAGATTTTTGAGGGAAAATGTTCAATCAGATCTTATCTCTGATTCCTCTAGAGATCAAAAGAGCAGAATATACAAGCGAGATTCATTAAAGACAGAATTTCCTCATTTTCGTGAGTATCACTGAAAAGTGAGATGCAAAGGAATGAAGATAACACTGTTCAATAACATGAGGTTTGGCCCAGAATGGGTCGTTATTAGGGCTCGTCCAGGAGCAACATTTTGATCAAGACGGGACTCCGTCAGAGCATGATTCATCGGGTGGAGGACCTCAATCGAATAGTTTCCGAGTGGAACAGTTAAAAAATTGCTCACTGCTTTTAGAAGATAACAAATTATAGCTGCTAATCAAATAAATGAATACATTCTCTCATAGATTGGTATTTTTGATTCGCGGAAGAAATTCATTGTTGATCCACCCTTCAAAGTGCCGTATTTGATTTTCTGTTGCGACGCAAGATCGCTAGTACTTTCCACAGGAGTTGTCATTCGTTCAACTGTCAAGAAAGCGGCCAATTGAGCTGTGTAGGAAGAAATGATGATTAGCGTATACATCCACCTTGAAATTTTGAATAGTTTAGGTATTTGAAGCGAGATCTTCAATCAACATTCAAAATATATACAAGTTTATCGCTACATTACTGGTGTCATCCTCGGAAATGCTATCGTTTTGTTAAGATTATTTCTCTTTATAATTGTCATCATCACTATCATATATTATTATTGCTGTGATCGCTGTTTCATCTTACACCACTATCATCCGTG